GGTTTACAGAGTCAGCATATTGCCCCCAGCAATCTGGGTCCTCATTTTACCCACCTCGGAAGGATGGAAGGCTGAGTCAACCTTGAACTGGTGAAATTTGATCTGCCAAACTGCTGGCAGCCAGTGATCAGCAGAAGTAGCCTCCAGTACTGCACTCTTTACCACTGTGCCACTGTGGCTCTTCAAGTTCTGTTCCCCACCACTAATCAGTCCAAAAACAGAATTAAAATACTTTAATTAATGAATTACTCTACCAAGATAAAATACTTTTTTTTTTCAAATCCAGTCATAACATTTCTTTCTTTCTAATCTCTTTTTCTCTCAGTTCTGATAATTACCAAAGTTCTGTATTTTTTATGTGCAGTACTGTGAGAGCTCAAGAGAAAACCTATTAATTTTTTTATCATTTAAAACTTTAGGGCCGTGACTGAGTAAACAAGAGAAGGAGCTTATAGTAGAAATATTCCAGTCATCAAGTCCTTTGTTTTCAAAGGTTTTTTTCTATATTAAAATGTGCATAATATATCTAATTTTGTGTACTCTTTGGGGAAATTTAGAATGATGAATGTTGACATTTAGCATGCCTGGTGGAATTAGCAAAAGATTAGTGAACAGACCAGGAATTACAAAGATTGATTTCAATGCAGAGCAGTAGGGTTAGAATTCATGAAGGTAAAATATTTTTCAGAGATTGAGGAAAGACTACAATTTCTTATCTAACTATATATGTTAACTACACAGGAGGAAAATGTATATATCGAACACAACTGCTGTTTTGTTTATAAGTAATCCACATTGTCTTTTATTTCTTTTTAAAAACTATTTCTTCCTCTCTTCTTCCCCACAACACACACACACTCTCTTTCTCTTTCTCTTTCTCTTTCTCTCTCTCTCCCCATGTGTCTGATGAAGTAAACTGTGAATTGTAATAGCTTGCACACAAAAATATTTCATTTATTCACGTCATTAACACCCCTAACTCCAATAGTCTCTGTTTGTTTTAATTATCAAAAGGCTCTTCGTTATTATTAATAGAGATGATACTCTCAGTAGACATTCAGACAATTTTATTGAATGATATTTATTTTTACTATTAAAGCGTAAACTAATACATGCAACAATGGCAATCAAAACAAAATTGGACCAAAGGAAAAATAATGAATAGTTCACATAATATGCTTTTTTACTATGATGGAATGTAATTCAGAGTTGCTGGAGGGAGGGGCTACTTTCCCAGAGGGTAAACCAACAGCGGATCTTGGAAAGTTTGGTCTGCAGAAAGAGGGTTAAATAAGTTCCTCCCTAGCAGTTCACAGAATATATGCAGGTAATTGCCTCAGCCTGGCAAGTTTTCTGTTTGTAGGTGAACAACAATAAAGAATTGTTGTGAAGTACCTCTACCTATTGTTCTTGGTCCTTTGGAATTGACATTTACAGCATTATGAAATTAACATTTTAAATGTGAACCTGGAAGGAAGATAGATGTTGAAATATAAATGAGTGATTCATAACTAATCCATAACCCCAGGCTTAACATCTAATGTAATACTTGTAGTCCTCAACGTACAACCACAATTGGGACTGTAACTTCTGTTGCTAAGCATTGGGGTTGCTAACTGAATTGTACCCAATTTTATAACTTTTGACATGGTTATTAAGCAAATCACTGTAAGTATTAATTGAATCAAAGGGTTGTTAAACAAATCTGGTTCCTTCATTGACTTTGTTCTGGGAAGCTGCCAAGGGAAAGTTGTAAATGACCCCAGATGCTGCAACCATTGTAAATACATGCCGATTGCCAAGTGCCGAAATTTTGATCATGGGACTGCGGCAATACTGTAGTGGTCATAAGTGTAAGAACTGGTCATAAGTAACTTTTCTTAATGCCGCTGTAACTTCGAACAGTTGTTAAAACAAATGGTTGTAAGCAGTGGTGAAATCTAAAATTTGTTACTACCGGTTCTGTGGTCGTGGCTTGGGGGAGGTGGTAATGTGATGGTGGGTGGGGCCAATTTTTTTTTTAACTTTTAAAACCATTTTTTCTACAACCTCTTCGGCGAACAGGTTGTTAAAAAATGCTTTCCAAAGTCTCTGACGATCCCAGCTGAGTTGCCTGATCGGCAGAAGCTTTTTAAAAAACTCAGCTTAGATCCTCAGGCATTTAAAAGAAAAAAAGGGTTTTTTTCTTTTAAAAGCCTTTGACAATCCCAGCTGAGCCGCACGATCATCAGAGGCTTTTTTTTTTACTTTTAAAAACATTTTTTCTACTGAAGAATAGAAAGAATACTTTTAAAAGTAAAAAAAAAAAAGCCTCTGATGAGGTTCTGACAGGTTCTGGAGAACCTGGTAGTGGAAATTTTGAAAAGTTTGGAGAACCGGTAGCAGAAATTTTGAGTAGTTCAGAGAATTGGCAAATACACCTCTGGCTGGCCCCAGAGTGGGATGGGAATGGAGATTTTGCAGTATCCTTCCCCTGGAGTGGGGTGGGAATGGAGATTTTGCAGTATCCTTCCCCTGCCACGCCCACCAAGCCACACCACCAAGCCACACCACGCCCACCAAGCCACACCCACAGAACCAGTAATAAAAAATTGGGATTTCACCACTGGATTGCCTTCTGCCAAATAAGATCAGGAAAATGGTCTGTCTCTCTGTCCCTTCTCTTAAGGAATATTTCAGGATTTGTTTTTCAAAAAGCCTTTAAAACCAGAGAGCCTTGCAAACAGATTTGTTATGAGAGGAATTTCTGTTGTGGATTTTTGTATGTTGTTGTTCTTTGGGTGTTGGTTTGTTTTCATGTTATATTGAATACAGTACCAATATTTTTTTCATGAATATAAGCTGCTCAGAGTTCTGCTTTGATTGGAATGACACGTAAGTTTCAATATGTAATTATAATTGAATTAACCTTGAATGGCTATTATTAACAATATAAGGCATTTCAGCAGTGAATACACACAAATTAAAACAACATAGCTGTAATGGATTGTGAGATTAACCTTGAGAGAGAGAGGAGGAAGAGACACAGCATAGACAATAGTCTGATAAATGAAATCTTTGTCCAAAATGAATGGGGATACAGAAGGCTCCTAAATTGTCTGCATGCAGGGAAGGCAGAAGCACTGTCACACTTGAAAAATTCTATTAGTGTAACTCCACACTAAAGGTAATGCTAATACTTATGGTTTTGCCTTCCTGTCTGGGCTACTTTGAATAGGTCAGTTATGTTTCCACAGTATGTTGGTCAAATTATTAAGAGACCTAGTAATAACACCATCAACATTATTTGCATTGCACACATATTTGTGTGTTTGTATGTCTGCAATATTTTTATTTTCTTGTGTTGTTGCCATTTTGTATCAGATGAACAGATTTTTCTGGCTGCTATTAGAAATCCATCCAGTCTGAAAGCAATATCATAAATTAAGAAAATATTCTTTTTTTAAAAAAAGTATTTTTCTAACACACTAATATTCTTGGAAAAATTTCATCTTTCTACAGTTTGTTTAATTTTTAAATAAAATTTAGCTTTCTAGATTATTTCTTAACCATTCTTAGAGTTACTAGTTTATGTTATTCCAATGTTGAAATGTACAGTTACTCAAGTACTGTAGTCAGTACATGACATGTCAGATATGTTGAGAATAGTTCTGAAAAGTTGATGATCAGTCATTAACAACTATCTTTTAATTGCATGTTACTTCTCCTTTACAAATACCATAAAGTATTACTAAGTAAATATTTCCTAGCCCAGTGACTTTACTGCAAAGATTTTGTAAAGTACCTGCATTCACATTTTGTACATATAACACAGATAGAGGAGAATATTTGTAGGGTTGAAATGAGGGGTCCTTGGTGCTTTCTGAGCTTCATTGTTTTCTTGCATAAGTTTCATTACCCAAACTACCATAGTTACCAGTAATATCAGTGCACTGAGGACCCCTCACATACAGTATAGTAGTTGGAAATGTTTATTCCCATCTCAGCTCAATTTTTGGTTTCACATTGCATTTCTTCCTAAGAAAGTCAGTCTTTCAATAAATGTTTGCATTATGGCACATACTAATCTCTCAATTGTCAACTGCTCCTCCCATACACAACAGCTAATAGGATGCATATTTCTGTGTACATTCTATGCTGTATAGTTTAACCTATTTTAAAATTGGACTCATACTAGCATTATTCCAAAGTTGAAATGTACAGTCACTCAACTAGTGTAGTCAGTACATCACATGTCAGAAATAGACAAGAAATAGATAAGAAATATTGCAAAGGATAGTACCAAAATTATTCCCACCCATCATTGGGTGGGAATAATGATCAAAGTAGATGAAACCAGAATTTCCTTCCCTTGATTTTTTGTGGAGGATGGCAGTACGTTTGGGAGTTTACATTACATGTCTTTCTCTTAATCCCATCTCAGAGTAGAAGTACATATCAAATAGTTTGAATTAACTGATCAGATATGATTTCTGCGGAACAAAAAAGGGGTGTTGACTGTCCCTGAGCTTGAATAAACAAAGAGGGGCATAAAGATTTTGGGCAAAGTGAAAAAGGCAGCCTTAAGATTAAGGCTAAGAGCTTCAAGGCTAAGTGGGGTTGTTGTATTCTAAGAGCCTCTGCAAACATCTTTGACTTAAAGGAGTCACTAAAATGTTTGTTTAGGGTGCTTTTTATGTCTGCAATAAATATATTGACCTGAAAGAAAGATGAAGTCTTTAAGAAGCTTGATGTGGCTTCACAAAAAAAATCAGTAATGGAAACGACCCCCCTTCCTCCCAAATATAAGATGAGGAATTATCGTAATTCATGGAATCTTCCTTTCTGGTATAGTGCAGTTTTAAAAATTGTACTGCTTTCAGTGTTATGTTCCTAAGGAGTTCAAACCCAATCTTCTCTTGCTGTATATGGAAGAGAAGCAGCCCTAAGAATAAAGGCATTCAGTAATCCAATGCATAACTCTGGTTTTATTTTTCATTTTTATTTTTCATTTTTTGCAGATTGAATATTATGGAAATATTTAGACTAGGGAAGATGAGCTAAAAGTGTTTCAACCATGTAGACAGATTTGCAAGCCCTGAAAAATGTCAGTTGTATAATGAAAGTGTTAAAAGCTTGCAAGAAATCAGACATCAGGAGCTGTAGTGGCTCCCACGCTGCTAAAGGTAATATAAAAAGTTACCAAAAAATTGATATGAAACCTGCATAAAATAGCAAAATTGGGCAGGGAATTTGTGTTTTACGCGTGATCCTTTTTTAATAGAGATACCATTACTGTGAGAGGAATGCTTTTAAGACAAAATAGCATCTGCTTGTGCATTTTAGGCACCTTTGATGCCTTATTTCTCATCCACTTTTTAAATAAGTGTTTATATTAATTGTCAATGTACTGCAATTTTAATGTTGTATTTCAATAGTTATTGTTTGTGTATGCTTTTCAGAAACTGACATGGGAAGCAGTATGAAAATATAATAAAATAAAATATTTTAAAACGTAATCTAAAACGGCAAATTTAGGTCTGCTTTCAATATCAATTCTTTAATATCTATGTAAGTAAGACAAAAAGACTTGTAAAACTTTTGAGAAGTGTTTGTATAGGTCTTAAGAAGCTAGGTAATATCAAGAATTAAAATACATTTTTAATCTATGTTTCAACATGAAGTTTCTAGACAGGCAACAACAAGGTTTATTATGAAACGAAACCTCAATAAATACCATCCATCAGCAGCAAAATCTGAGTTAAAATATATCATCAGTTATACACATAAACTAATATCTATATAATTTTATACAGATAAGCTAATATCTGTATAATTTTAACTTTATCTTAACACATCTATGGGGATTCTCAAGTTTATTTTATCATGGTGAAAAATGGAATAGGCTTTTGAGGATGTTTTTAAAAAAAATAAGTTTATAGACAGGAAGGGCTGTAAAATGTAGAAACAGTAGCCCCAGGTAAGTAGTTTTTATTACTCCTGGTGAAATATAAACCTGATATAGAGTGCCTGATAGAACACTAACTGCAATTTAATGTGGGTTTTGTCTTATGTCCTAAGAAGTAGAGAATCTGATTTACTATTTTTCTTGTAGTTATATTCAAGTAGCAATGTGGCTCAAAAGTCTGTATTCTAATAGAATAGTATTATCAAGTGCTAGGGAAATCAGGAGATCCAGGCAGTTCAAATGAGTATAAAGACAAGCTTAACTTCTCTACAAGTATTTGAGCTATTAACAGTCAAAGCAATTTGGGGATACATAAGGAATTCACAGTGGAATGGACTTAGATCTTTTGTGAAGGTGGCTGATGACGCATTTGACCTCTCCCTCAGGCTCAGCCTGGTCATCTCCTATAACTATAGACTAAGAGAACTTGAAATACAGTATGGAAAATACTGATTCTGCATCCTGCAGTGTATTTTAATTTAATTTTTTCAATTTACAATGCTGCATTTCCTAAAATCAATAAATGTTTTCATTATTAGCAACTTGATTAATATGAGGAACAAAATAATCAGTATATACTGTGAACGTAAGAGAATCTGCATAGTCTTCTGATGAGTTTGTCTGAAGTTGTATGTGAGAAATCTTAGCCTGACTTAGCATATCTTGGGCCAGTTCCTAATTCTCCAGATACATCACATGCATCGTCTTTTAGGAAGTAGGAGTTGTAGTTCAAAAATTCTGAAACATCAGATTTGGGGAAACTGCTTTAGGGTAATATCAATAAACTGGCTTGTAGCCAGTTGATCTCCAGCCAATATCTGGAGAATTAGTAGATCCCCCCCCCCCCAAATAGGGGTAATTTAGCTGACATTATCTGTAGTTGGCAAAATTTTCTAAAGTGCGGGGAGATGATGGCTTGGTATTTAATTTTGACTATGGATGAAATAGCAGTATTGTTTTTTGGCATTAAGATGTTTATTAAATAGCAGATTTTATGAATGCTAATATCTAATGTCATATCAGCTGGAGAATCAATGTCTTTCAAGATCTGTTTAGGAAAACATTTTTCAAAATGAAAATTTACATTGTTACCTTTACCTTTTTTATAGAACATGACTGAAAAACTAAAGGATTGCTTGGGAGAAATGGTAACAATCAAGACAGAACCATGTTCTCCATGCCAGGAAGAAGGATATGGACAATTTGGGTAAGAACCTTTAAATTTCTAATTTGCCCCATCAATATAAGAATCCTGTGCAAAGACAAATAAGTGGGATATGTGCATTGTGAGGTCACAGTGTAAATCTTGGCCTTTCATATTTGTGTCCTAGTCACAAGTAGTTCCCAACACTGGACACAAGAGTGTAAATCACATCATGACATTTAGTTGTTGGATTTTTACATACCACTTTTATTTTTTGTTCATTCAAGGCAAAATACACATAATGCTTCTGCCTTCTACTTTCCATCAAAATGGCAACCCTGTCCCTGTAAAGCATTTTGGAAAGTATGTTCAAGCTGTTTAAGATACTAAAATTTATTATAAGATTGATTTGAAAACATCTTTTTTTTTCTATATCCCCCGTGGCATCTGGTCCTTAAGCTATTTTCTTCCTCCCAACCTGGTATAGCAACTTGGGTTAAGAGACATAATATATCTTCTTGTACAGAGAAAGAGTACAGCACCTGTTCATAGCAGACTGAGTGGAAAATGTGACTGGGACAAATACCTCTTTGTATTTCTGAGAGAGAGGGATTCAGCATAGAGCAGAGTTGAGAAGAAGGCCTGATGTTGAATGGTTGATGGCTTGGTTCATAGTTCAGTACTAAATCATGATGTTTAGTGAAGGCTGTCTATTGTTAAATGACTATAATAAACATGGCAACAAAGCCTTCTTCTGAGATAGTCTTTTTCCCTTTCCTTTATTGTCTATATATATCCACACTATGAAAAATTGCCTACCCATGCCGTAAGGAATTAAAATAGCAAGTCAGAATAATATATGTAGGACAATAGGCAAACATGTTTACTGGTGTTGAGGTATTTTTGTCACTTAAGCAGCAAAAGGGAAGCAGAGGACACAAGCCATTTGAAAATAGTTGAATGTACTGATGTTTTGGCATCAAGTCTACAAATTTCCTTCAGAAATGACCTCAGGGAAATTTGTAGACCTGGTGCCAGGACTCCAGTACATCTAATTGATTTGATAGTTTGCTTAAGAGAAGTTCCAAGAAGTGAGAATTCAGAAATATTTTGAAATAGGTAGTGACTAAATTGACATAAGAATTAGAAGCCAAGAAGCAGGAAATTAATTTTAGTCTGAGTTAAAACAACAATTTTTCTTTTAATGACCCTGTAATTCCTTGTATCGGGGTGTAGTCAGGGCGACTAAATGGAGCTGAACATTTACTGGCTGGATGCCCTTCCTGATGCCTACACAGAGCTTATAGCAGATATTTTCTCTTTGCATCCAGAAAAGTATCTGCCACTACCTAGGATCAAATGCACAGTTTCCAGATTGTGATGTGAGAGCTCCACCTCTAGGCCACCAGCTGCTCCAAAACAACAAATATACTTGTTCTAATTTCTGTTTCTTCATTTTCTATAGTAGAATATCACATATGTTCTCTTGTTTTGTCAGCTCTCAAAAGTTTGATTCTCACTCTATGGATGTGGAGCCTAAAAAGCTAAAAGGAAAGCAGGAGTTGGTTATGTCCAAAAGTTTTCAGCAGGTGGATTTCTGGTGTAAGTATTGTATTGGTGATCTAACCATTCTAATATTAAACCTTTAAAGTAGAAAATACAGCAAATAAAAATTTCACAGTTGCTATCTTAACAACAATAGGAAAACTAAGGTAGGGTTGTGCAACATTTGGTCCATATTGGTCCTCTTAGGATTCCACAATTGTTTTCTTCCCACAATTAAATTTTAAAACACTATTTTTTTCCAAATTTTCCAAACTTCATAAGATGTTGACCGTCTCACATGAAATCTCATAACAGTTCAAGCAAATATTCATAATCATGATATTTAATAACCCTGAAAGATTTGGGCTATTTTAAAATTAATTTTTAAAATATTTATTTGGTGCCACAATATTGTGATACATGATGGCATAAACATCTGATAAGGTTTCCAACACTATAGCTAAAAAGTTCCATATTTTTTACTATTAAATAATATAGTTTATAAGGGACAGAGTGGCTCAGTGGCTAAGACGCTGAGCTTGTCGATTGAAAGGTCAGCAGTTCAGCGGTTTGAATCCCTAGTGCCACATAATGGGGTGAGCTCCCGTTACTTGTCACAGCTTCTGTCAACCTAACAGTTCGAAAGCACATAAAAAGAATGCAAGTAGAAAAATAGGGACCACCTTTGGTGGGAAGGTAACAGCGTTCTGTGCGCCTTTGGCATTTAGTCATGCCGGCCACATGACCACAGATATGTCTTCGGACAGCGCTGTCTCTTCGGCTTTGAAACGGAGGTGATCACTGCCCCCTACAGTCGGGAACGACTAGCACATATGTATGAGGAGAACCTTAACCTTTAATATAGCTTATATCCAAGAGGCAATTTTAAGTATATTCAGCAGCATGACTTAAATCCATTAAATCAACTAAGATATAAGAAAATTTGATGGACAGAATTTTCAAAAGAGAGGCTCAGCAAGACTACTTTTCAACAGTCTTTGTCTGTCATACATGTAGATACCATAGGAAACTTTCTCTGACAGATTTGACTTTAATTCTCGAATTGATATTGTCCACTGGAAAAGTATTTTCTGTTACCTATAATACTAGCTGACATGACTTTTATGTTTAATCTGTAAAATCCTTGCTGCTTGATTGCTTATTGCAAATGTTTCAGAGTAGAAGGGGCAGACATAAAGAAGCTAATTTTATTTTATTTATCTAAAGGGACATAATCAAGTAATGTGGCTTGTTTTTACTTAAATTTACATCCTAGTCCCCATATTAGATTGAAACACACACACACACACACACGAGTCCCATGGCAAGGAAAGGATGTAGCAAAATATTAAATTTACTAAAAAAACCCATCTTTTGTCAACCAGCAGTTATTTCAATTTAATAGATTTGAGTATGGGAAACAAGCTGTATACAGAGAAAGCAAAAGTCAACCAGAAAAAAAAAATCCTCACCATAGGGTTGGTTGTCAGTCTGACCCTGTACAGGTAGTCCTCAATTTATGACCACAATGGAGCCCAAAATTTATGTTGCTAAGTGAAACATTCTTTAAGTGACTTTTGCACCATTTTATGATTTTTCTTGCCACAGCTGTTAAGTGAATCATTGCAGTTGGTAAATTTGTAATACGGTTGTTAAGTGAAACTGGTTTCCTCATTGAATTTGCTTGTCAGAAGGTCACAAAAGGTGATCACATGACTCCTGGACTCTGCAACCGTCATAAATATGAGTCAGTTGCCAGGCATCTAAATTTTGATCCTGGGACCATGGGGATGCTGCAATGGTTGTAAGTGTGAAAAACAGTTATAAGTCACTTTATTTCCAGTAATGTTGTAACTTAACGGTCACTAAATGAACTTTTGCAAGTCGAGGACTACCTGTATATGAAGTCCAATAGAGATGTGCAAAATGTTTGTTATAGCTGTTTTAGACTTGTCCATGCTTAAAATTAAACATATATATTTGGGATATTTGCATCCATGTATAGAACTGGGAAATAGCCAAGAGCATAAAAAATTAGAGGTAAGCGATCCATTGCCCTGAAAGATTAGCAGCAGTTGAGGGAAGGAGAGAAGATGCTAGAAACTTGTGGAATGTTCTGTGTTGACAATACTGAGGGAAAGAAGGAGCAGACAGGATGATAACACACCAGAATTTTCTTCCTGGTTTCCCAGATTTTATTTACTCTACAGCCTTGAACAACCAACACATTCTAGGTTTTCTTCTGCCTGGCCTGAAATGATTTAGCAGAATCTACAGAATGCAGTGGTTTTGTCCAGCATTTGAAACAAAACATTTCCCCATTTTGTGTCACAGAATGATACTGTAAGCCTAAAGCATACAGTAAACATTTTTTTCTTGAAAGAAAAACATTTTCATTTTTGTTTTATGATCTTCAAGTTGTCTGACATTCTATTTCTGGTTTCAATAACATCTATAAAATTTCCCACATGGGAAACTTTAAGTGTATGCTAACTGCTTGCTCTCTTTTCTTGCCATTGAGTTCTGAGCAGGATCATATTTTTTTTAAATTTGATTTATATGCCGCCCTTCTCCGAAGACTCAGGGCGGCTTACAATGCGTTAAGCAATAGCCTTCATACTTTTGTATATTTTATACAAAGTCAGCTTATTGCTCCCACAATCTGGGTCCTCATTTTACCTACCTTAGAAAGGATGGAAGGCTGAGTCAACCTTGAGCCTGGTGAGATTCGATCTTACTTTAATTGCAGACAGCTGATGTTAATAACAGTGCTTTAGTCTGGTGCGCTACCAGGGCATATTAACATTTTTAGTAATTATTTTGTAATGAGAATTGACATGCTAACATTTTTTTAAGCAAATGTTCATGTGATTCTTCTACTGAAACAGAAAGAAGTAGGGAATCTTTATCTCACTTGGGCAAGAATTGGGATTCCAGTTCAGAAAGCATTAAATGTATCTTTTCAAGTTTATGCCCAAATTTACATTTAAATAAAACTTGGCAAAACAAAACTTCTGAGACAATATGCAATGAAAATTACATTGATTCCTCTGTAGTATTGCTTTGAACTCTTGTTTCGGTTCAAAAAGTTACAATTGATGTCACTGTTCTTATATAATTCCCACAGTGCTGATCGTGCCAAAATTGCTATCTCTTCATTTACATATATGTGTTATCTCCAATTATATATTGATAACCTTATGAGGTTGCAATAGAATAATAGATAAGAGTAGCAAGAGCCGTCGTAAATTTATCCATTGCTAAAGCTGCTTTTTGGATTTCCATAAAGGAGATTTTTAAAAATCAAGTCTTGGAGCTATTGAAAAACCTCAGGAAATTATGAAAGGAATACAGTACTAATGCATTAATTGCAAACTTTGGCCTGATACTTAATTATGAAAAAGAGCTACTTCATACACAAGAAGTCATTTACATGTTATGATGTGAATGTGAACTATTAGGACTAATTTACATGTGTTTCCATATTTTTTTTTTAAAAAAAAACATTGGGCCAGGAATAATCTCTGCTTCAAAGAGCCTCCACAGCAACTATAGTACATATTTTCCTGCTTTAAATCATACTATACTATTTCCTTAGTATTGGCTGTGTGGAGTAAGGGTGATGTATACAAGGGAACACAAACATAGTAGATGTGTTTGCTTGCTACAGTTTGTGTTTTGCTTGCCTACAGTTGTTTGCTTTCGCTTCTAGGAGTGATTGGTTTAAATGATATTTGATTCTTTTAGGCAAGATTTTATGAATTATACTTTCATTCAGGAAGCAAACATTTGCTTTCCTATTGCAAATGTTTGCAATATTGAATGAGCTGAAATCCTTGTTGGATGCATAACCTATGACAGAGAGATGTAGCTTTATGGCTGGGTTGCTTTTTAATTTTAAAAAAAGGCCCTTAGATATTTTTGATAATTTGTTTACAATGTTGGTGGAAGTTGTAGCTCATCAGCAAGTTTTATTTGAAAATTAAAATTAAATTCAAACAACTTACTGGCATCCTTAGCAAGATTAGGAGGGCTAGACTCATTCTTGTTATTTCCTCTTTCTATAGTTTGTGAGTCGTGCCAGGAATACTTTGTAGATGAATGTCCAAATCATGGCCCACCAATGTTTGTGGCTGATGCTCCAGTACCCATTGGCATCCCTGAACGAGCTGTGCTCACTATCCCTCCTGGTATGGAAGTGATCAAAGAGCCAAATGGGGAACGAGATGTGCGCTGCGTAAATGACGTTATCCCCAAAGGTCGCATCTTTGGACCATATGAAGGGAAGCTGTCTAGTCAGGACAAGTCAGCAGGATTTTTCTCTTGGCTGGTGAGTATTCTCAGCTGGGTGATTCTTTAAGGAATCAGTGAGATTAACATCTGGACATATTTGCCTGTAATTCAGCTATAAGAAGAACATGTGTAATTAAGAAGCTCCTCATACAACTAATCTTCAGGCAAATATTAAAGTGTAAAGAACAAAGTAAAACTTGGAAGTCAGGAGTCAGGTTTTCATACAAGAAAACGTAGTTCTGCAGACTGCAAAACCCAGCTGTCTTCCAGATGAATTTTTTTTTTTGGTCAGCTCCAAGAAATAAATAGGAACTGTTGTTTTAAGAAGGAAAAATTAAACAATTACATTTATTCATTTAATTATCTTATACTGCATGATCTTGACTTCATTATAAATTTATGGGTTGTTTTTTTTTTCAGATCATTGATAAGAACAACCACTATAAATCCATAGATGGAACAGATGAGACTATATCAAACTGGATGAGGTGAGTCTGTTTCCTATATATAATTTGCCTGTGTGTTTTTATTTGCATCTGTAAAAATAAAGGATACACTTCCCTGTTTTCAGTTTTTGGAAATGAATTACGTACGACTTGATTTTTAATTTCATTGATAAATTTCCTGTCAAATATTCTGTTTATCCTCTTTTGTACAAAAAAGCAGAGTTTTATAGTGGACAAAGAGAGAGCTTGGTCATTACAGTGATTTAGCAGTGATTTCTGTAGTTTGCTTATGTTTATCTTTTATGTGTATTAAAATAACTTCAAAAGGATTTGATCAGAACAGAAATGGAAAAAAACTAATAATCTATTTGTGCTATAGATTATTTCAAATGGTAGATGGCTCATGGCAAAACACTTTGAAGATATTGTACTAAAAATAATGACCTTTTAAATAATTTAACAATGATATGGATAAAAATTATGGTATCTGTATTGCAAGAGTTGGGAAATTTGATTTATAACTTCCAGCTATCCCTACTAGGAAGGCATACTATATATCAGAAATGTATCAATTCATTCTTTGAAGATATATTATACAGATGAAGTAGCACACTAGTACCAAATACTAGATTAATACTCATTATTTTTAAACCAGTCAAAACATTTCTTCTATATAAAAACTTACAATATTATTTTGATTTACTTCAAAGGAAATCATATTGAACTTAATGTGATTTGTGAGTAAGCATGCCTGCATATAATCGGAGTGCAAATATGATAATAGTAAAGGTGGAACACAGAAGAAACTAAGTAGTCAATCAAAAGTATTTATCAAATTAAAAAAATAACAAATTAAGACAAACCTCTTTATATCTATATTGATATTAGAGTTTACTTGTGATATGTGTTATTGTATATTCCAACCAGTTGGATTTATACTATACTGTAGTGTAGCATTGTTCATGCCAGTTTTTTCTTCTCCCTCCTTTTATTTTTCTTTTCAGATAAAATCAGTGTTCTGTGGCTATTAATAATAATTAATCTTCATTGACTTAGTGGCCATTTTTAAGTATCTTTCCACAATGTTAAAAGAATATTTAACTGAATAGCCTGGCTCCAACAGAACATAGTGGAAATAGTGGAGCCATTTATAGCTTACCCTCTCAAGTCTTGAAAAGTTTGTTGAGTTCTGTAACACTTGTTGGTGTTAACAATTTTTGGTATAATGTTGATTGAAATTTGCTGTTGAATGAGAAACAGTTTTATTCTATCTTTTCAGTTTGCTATCTTTCTATTTTCTTTCATATCTTCAAGTTGAAATAGGCTGCCACAGGATTGTTTCTTATTTTCTAAAAATGCTTGTGTCACATCATTAAAAATAGGTAACATGATAGGGAAAGGAAGATACTGTATTTGTAAACTGTCATGTTAGCTAGGGAAATATGCTACTAGTAAAGAGAAATGTGGGCTACCTTCTCTCATTGAAATATGATAACCAATTTATGATGTTGACAGGAATATAAACCTAGAAAGGTACCAGTTCTTTTAAAATATTGCCTGGATTTGAAACTGTAATGCTAGAACAGGTTCTTTTATGGCTTATGCTGCCACAAAGTGGTCAAAGTATTCAAAAGCATACATTTCTTTCCTTTCTTACATGTTATTTATGTAAGGTACTCCAGATAATGACAGTAAAATTGATGAGTCCTACTTCTTGGCAGTTGCAAATATTGTCAATTTAGAATTGCCCAAGCCATCTAAAATAAGTTCCTGAAGAATTCATTATTAAAATGTAATTTATTTCTGAGTACATTAACTTAGGTTTGCATGAAGGTCTGGTGTATTCAACAAAATACAGAAAATGCAATATTTTGACAAAATACATTATGGTATATTCTGAATTATTTTGGTGCTCCTAGAGTATATGTTGATATAATTTATTATGGAGTAAGTGTATTCTGTGCTAGTTCATCTTCTTATTTCTGGAGAATGGTTATATGTTATTAATGTTCTACCTGTCACATTTTTGAACTATGCAATGTTGCATTTTACATAAATATGGAAAGAGTCTTTTCTGGTTAAGTTTATTTATTTAGCGTATGGCAAATATATGGATTTATAGTAGTTAGAGAGGCAGGAGTTTTACAAAGATGTCTGGCTGCCTACTGTCGTTAACTACCAATTCTTCAATATAGTCTGGCTGCCACTTGTTGCTTGTCGTTTGGTTCACACTACCGAGCTATCCAGGGTGCACCACGAGGAGGCAAACTAGCATCATACCCCAACCACACCCATCTGGTTAAGTATTTGTCATTGACATGTGATAAACATTATGGGTGTATCAGGAAGACTTTTAGCAAACTATTGTATTTGTTAGTTATAGGATATTTGCTAAATTTGTCTAGTTTGAAATGTCAATCAAAGCCCTTAAGAGATAGAAAATTTGGATGAAATTTATATCCCATTACAAAACACTATAGAAAATAGCTGTGTGAATATTTCTTGCAGATAATATGACAAGTTCTCAGATTTTCTCCGTTTTCCAAACAGAGTTGTAAATTTTGAAAGTAGCCATGATTCTTTTTAGCATCTTCGTTTTCTTTTGTTAGAACTACTTGCAATATCAGGTGAACTTTAGTTAACCTATTTAATGGAAACACTATTCATTGTTTTCCATGAAAAAAGCAAACATCATTTAATCAAGGAGGAGAAACAGTTGGTAATCTTGGAAAATTCTCAGTGTAGAGAATCCAGAATAGTCTTCCTGATTTTATTTATTTATTTGGTGTTGTATGTTTAATCTATTAGGTCTCTTGAGTCATTGCCCTGTGGTAAATATCTTCAGGGTTCTTTTTTACGTGATTCAGTAAACATAGTTTTTAACCCTTAGAATTGTTTTTTGTAGCAGAATATTTGGTAGTTGTTTTGTTTCTTGCCAAAGATTTCTCCAAGAACGAACAAAGCCTCCAAATACCTGTTCATTTACATGCAAAGATTACACAAAATACGGTACACATTGCATATGGTACACATTGAATCTTTGTTGCCCACCAAACTAAGAGGACTGCTGTTTTACAAACAAAATATCTTCTTACTTTCTATGCTTGTGTAAGAGTGGAAGGCATTATCTTGAGAGGAAGCTCATCAAGCTGGAAATAAACATACAGTGGGACATGTTTCTTGTTTTTAGTAGTGTGAGTATATCACATTGATTTCCTTTTACCATTTATCCTTTGTGGGATATTGAACCCAAGGAACATGACTGAACGAAAGAGGAAGCCCAAGTTCTCCAGGGAAGAACTGGACATTCTGGTCACTGAAGTGACTCAGAACGAAGCCAGGCTGTTTGGAAGGGAGACAATACGTCTATCTCATGCAGACAGGGACAAGATCTGGGAAGTTATAGCCAGGAAAATCACAGCAGTGAGCCATGTTCCCAGGTCTGTAAAAGATATTAAGCACAGATGGGATGACATGAAAAGAAGGACCAAAGACAAACTGGCTTTCATGCGGAGGTCCATCTCCAGTCCCAGCAGCCCGGGGAGGCCCTCGGCCATTGTCCTGACCGCCCACGAGAGAGCCATCAAGTCGACGCTACATTCGTCACGCCAGATGCACGGCTTCCGGAGAGCGGATCTGGACGTGGTTGACAGCCCATCAACCAGTTGTAAGTATTATCTCTTGTCTGTTCCCTGCTGTACAGCTTGGTTCTGACAAAGAAATGTATTATACAAAAGTTAATATTTCCCTTTTCGTTAAAGAACACCTTCTAGTTCAGGTTTCCTGAAGTATTTAATACTTCCTGTTCTGGTACTTTCTTCATTATTGATTCATGAAGCTGTACCTTGAATAAACTGATATAGTCTGTGAACCTTATTATTCAGGTTAGCATAAAGAATAGAAATGATACTGCCCATCTATAGAATGACATGTGTGATATATAACACATGTATGCATACAACAAGGGAGAGAAGGAATCACAAATGTAAATCGTATTGTCATTAATACATCCTATATAAATGCCAGATTTTTTTATTATTATTCATAGATTGCATATTTGCTTACTCAAAAAAAATATTTGTAATTGCTAGTGGCATTTATTCACAGTCATGCAGAGTGACAAAACATTTAAACCACCCAATGTGCGTGTTCCTTGCCATGGATTCAGCGTTTGCTACTTCAGCATTTGTGGCAGTTGTAACTACTGCAGATAACAAAAATTGCTTCTGTATTTTCTCCATAGATGTAGAAAGAGTCTAAAAGAGTGGTGATGTAGTTGATTATTGGTACATAATCCATATTGGTGTTATCCTTACTTCCATGGTCTTTTCTGATATTGAGCCAATACTGTACAGGTTAATGTACTCAACTTGCAGATATCTATTATTCCTATATCTACTATTCTCCCCTCCCATAAAGAATTTCAGCATTTATTCATATGTGGATATGTCCTGGCTTATACAGTACATATACATTGTCCATATTCAAAATGGAATTTTGCTACTCAGTATATCTTAGCTGGCATCTGTGATTCAAGAAGTCCCTAGGTTAAGAACAGGTTCCATTCCCCAACTCTGTCTTTAATCCAAATTTTTATTTAAATTGGAACATCTACTTACAAATAGGATGCCTATTAGTAAAAATGGTAGATGACATTGTCCTTTTGCGAGCCAATAAAAGCCCTGAAGCTACACAGTGCTTTTAGGAACCACTAAAAAACCACTAAAAATATGTTGTAAAGTAAAAACACACAATTTCAATAGTTCCTGAAAGAATTGCACAGCTTCAGTGTTTTGTCAGATCAGAGAAGGCAATATTTTCTTACAGGCAGCCTGTTTGTATCTAGGGTTGCTGTTAAGTTGAACGTACATAACCCGGGAACTGACGGTATTCAGGATAAATATCGTAAATCTATAATTATTTTCATTGCTTTTGTGGATATAGTTGATATAGTGGACTAAACATAATCAAAATTCCAGAAACTATTGTTGTACTATCAGTATTTTCTTTCATAGTTTTTGCTGATTTAAAGGATACACTGA